ACTTGTCTTTTGGTCACTTAGGCTTTTATGTATATAGATGGTTCTGGGAGGGGGGGGTGCTATTGCAATCAAAGGTGAAAAAACAAACAAAAAAACAACAACGGGAGGACACACAATTTGAGAAACAGGGCATCCAACACAGTAGAGTGAACTTGCAGTCCCAGGGTGATAACCCAGAGAGGACCAGTTCAAATTGGAACAGGGGGAGGGAGAGCTCCAGAATGGAGTTTCCCAGAAAAAAAGAAAAAAATGGAACCAACGAGCTTGGGCTACGTAGAAAATATTGACAAGAGATGATGAGCATTAAAAAAAAAAAAGTATTAAGAGAGGAGATAATCAGACACTAAGCAACTGAATCTTTTATAATTAAAAAAAATAAATAACCGAAATGATTATGAACTCCAGGCAAGAAATAAAGAGTTCTACAAGTAAGAGGACAAAGCCATAGTCTACACCTTGGTTCTATGGTGAGCAATGTTCGCATAATCATCATAAAATATACACTGCCTCCAGAGCCGATCAAAATGTGTGATGTAAATGCACTGAGAAGAATGAGAGGTGGGAAGTGGGAGGATGTATGAGAGTTCAGTCCCCATCTATCATGGCAATAAATCAACTGAAGGTACTACCTTAAGTCAACAGATCCAGCAATCTCATTACATGCCCACTGCTCAGAAAGGGAAACAGCTGAGGAGCTGACATCGGAAGCCCTTGGAACCTGGCCTGTGGGGTGGGGGCTGCAACTTTTCATTACAACCATGCCAGTACCTTTCTCTTTTAACAACACACACTTGGATATTTTCATATACTTAGTCATTCTTAAATGAAACCAAAGAACTATGGGAGAGAGAGAGAGAGCACGCAAATGAGGTAAAATGTTAACGGGGAATCTGGATGAAGTAATTCTTTATATCGTAATTCTTTATACTATTCTTGCTGCTTTTCTGTAAGCTTGAAATTAGCTTTGTCAATTTAATAGGTAAGAAAAAGCATTAGAGTGGTTATTGTTTTATTATAATTATTAGTGACATTGAACACATGTCAATGAATGATTCAAATTGTCTGTTTGTGTCCTTTGCTCATTTTTACATTCATGTTCTTTGCTCTTCCCTATTGCTCTGTAAAGCCATTTTTAAATCCGTCATATATATATATATATATATATTGCATCTCTCTCCTGCTTTCTGTAGCCTTCTAATTTTGTTACAAATGTTCTTTTTTAACCTTGGTCAGTGTATGCTTCCTTGCTGGAGCTTGGGGAGAGGGATTTGGATGAGGGAACACCCAAGTATGGTAACATGTCCTGAACTTCAAAAGAACAGAGGTTATTGTGTAGTAGTAAGACAGCGGCTTAGAAATGAAAAACACGGCTTAGGAGCGGATCTGAGTGAAGGCTGAGAGGTAAGAAGTGAGGACCAGGGAGGAAACAGAGGGTCTCCCTTAAGGTGAAGGTCTTGGAAGAGAATCCAATGGAATAGGTCTTCCTTTGTAGGAAGTGGCTCCGAGGAGCTGAATGGCGTGCATGGGACAAAGCTGGGGAAGAACGGACTGAGCTGGACAGAAAGGAGGGTCTGGGGGAGGCGGGTCTTGTTTGGAGGTTGGGGGGAGAGGGGGAATGTGGTCACGGTTTGTCCTTGGCAGCACAGCCTGTCCATCCACCATGCCCTCACGATCGATGGCCACTGGGATGCACAGGGGCTGCAGACGGGCGGGTCGGAGGGTCCTCTGCTTTGATACTCTAACTTCCAGGGCTGCGGGGAGCCTCGGGGACCAGGGGTCTCTCCTCTCCTCTTCCCCATGAGCCCCGCGAGGCCCAGGAGGTTACGTGGCCTCCTCCCCAAGGCCGCACAGCTACTTCCGTCCTGACGTCCACCCCCAGCCTCGCGGGGCGCAGGGAGACACCGCGGGACGCCTGCCCGGGTGCAGAGAAGCCCTGCGGACATCATGGGCCCCGACGCCGCCTCCGCGCCGCCCGCCCGCCCTGGGCGCTGCACCTGCTCGGCGTCGCGGTTGCGGCCGGCGCTTCCGGGCGCCCCGCCGCTGCAGCCGCTGCACCCAGCGAAGGGAAAGTACGGGGTGACGGCGCCGGGGAGCGCGTGCGGAGGCCGTGCGTCAGCCCCCGGCCACGGCTGACTTGTTTGGGGCCAGGCTGGTTAAATTAGTCACTTTCCAAACCCGCGGCCCGCCGAGCACCTTCACACACATGCAAATGCCACAACCCCGGGCGGCCCCAGGGGAAACCGCCCCGGCGTCCCCCCGGCCCGGCGCGGTCCTTAGGGACTGGAGGCGGCGCCCCGCCGCGAGGGCCCCGGGAGGAAAGGCGACTGCGGGGGGCTGGTCCCCCCTGGGGACCCTTTTGTGCTCCGGGCGACCAGGGCAGCAGCGCTCGGTAGGACTTGGACTGGGCGCTGGGAGACAGCTGTGCGCGAAGGGGCGTGACGAGGGCGTGGCCTGTCCAGGGGGCGGGGCCTTGCGCGAGGGGCGGGGCCGGTCAGAACGCAATGCGCAAGCGCGCAGGGCCCGCCGCGATTGGCGGGCGGGGAGCCTGGCGACGGGGAGGCCGGGCGGGTGCAGGTACGTCGGCGGCGGCGAGGTTCCCGGGCCCGGGCCCTGGCTGCGCCGCCGGGTTGTAGGGAAGGGGGCGGTCGCGGTCCGTGTTGAGGGAAGAGGCTGTAGGCGGGGCAGCCGCGGCGGAAGCTGGGAGGACTGCGGGGGCGGAGGTGTCTCCGGGGAGGAAGGCCCGGCCTGTGCGGAGGCTCCTCTGGGAGGAAAGACGTAGCGAGAGTCCCCGGGGAACCCCCCACCGCCCCCGGTCGGGGACCCCGTCGCGCCTGCTCCGGGACGGGCTCCAGGCGCCGGTTGCTATAGGCAACCAGCTTGGTGCCAGCTTGTCCCGGTGGCCCGGGTTGTGCTGGTGTAGCGCTGGCAGGATCGCAGGCCCGCAGCCCACCGGGGCGACCCTATCCTGCCCCATGACTTTTTTTTTTTTTTTTTTAATATATTTTATTGACTTTGTACAGAGAGGAAGGGAGAGAGATAGAGAGTTAGAAACATCGATGAGAGAGAGTCATCGATCAGCCGCCTCTTGCACACCCCCTACTGGGGATATGCCCGCAACCAAGGTACATGCTCTTCACCGGAATCGAACCCGTGACCTTTCAGTCCCCAAGCCGACGCTCTATCCACTGAGCCAAACCGGTTTCGGCCGGGAGACTTTTTAATATTGGACTTTTTTTTTTTTTTTTTTTTTTTTTTTTTTTTTTTAACTCTGCCTGTTTGATATTAGGGTGACGGCACCCCGCACACTTTCCTGACCAAGCCCTGACATGTAAACACTCCAATGGGAAGTGCTCCTGAAGGTAGGAAAAATACAGGAGGGCACATCTTGCTTCATATTTTGTCCCATTTCAGCGCAGCTGTGGGGCGGTGAGGGTGATTCCGTGCTCTGATCAGAGAGCTTTGACACTGGAGACCAGTCTGGGAATGTCTCCCACACTCTAAAACTCCAAGGTTCAGATACCCGGCCACAACAGCCATGAACTTAAATCTTCCCATCAGTTGTCTGTAAGTTAGAAAAATCTACAGATAGAAAATATAGCAGGTTGCAGACATAAATGTCTCATTTTTTCCTTTCCTAACTCACAAAGCCTCCTGGTGGAACAGCTGTTTGCCCCATTCAAAGGGAAGCATGGAAGCTCTACCTAAAAACGGGATGTGACCAGGAGAGACCTATCACTGTGAGTCTGGCTTCTGTTTGTCACTGACGTCTTCTCCAGGGTGACGTGACCTCGTGACCATAACCTTAAGTGGCTGCGGTTCAGGTACAGAACTGGCCGTTCTTACGCTGCTTCTCTGGACGTGGACCCCTTTGAGTCACCTTGGGAAGGATGAGTATTCCTCATGTGGCCTTAATGAGTCAACTTACAATATCGCTGCTGTTACTACCCAGATGACAGAAGGAAACTAGAAACCAGGTCATGCTCTTATGGATGACCACCAGTTTTTATCATGGGGTCAGGTTCCGTAAGAGATGGAGGAATGTTTTTTTTTTTTTCTGCTTTGTCAGATACCCTCCCCAAGAACTTGACTGAAAATGGGGAAAGCAAACTGTACTTTTAAAAAATATATATATATTTTATTGATTTTGTACAGAGAGGAAGGGAGAGAGATAGAGAGTTAGAAACATCGATGAGAGTGAGTTATCGATCAGCTGCCTCTTGCACACCCCCTACTGGGGATGTGCCTGCAACCAAGGTACATGCCCTTGACCGGAATCGAACCCGGGACCTTTCAGTCCCCAAGCCAACGCTCTATCCATTGAGCCAAACCGGTTTCGACAGCAAACGGTACCTTTGTGTGACCCCTCTAAAGCATAAATAAGTACTTTACTTTTACAACCCCAAATTAAGAAATCAATATTTTAAACATTTTGCTGGTTTTCCACTTAAGGCCTTCTTTTTTGGCATCTTAAAGGAGTTGTTCTTCCTGTTTCTCCACTGTCTGATAATACACTCAGTGGGAGGAGGTCCACATTGTCTCTCTGCTTATCTCTTTCCATGCTCTTTTGCAGAGCTGATGACATTCAGTTTGAATTTTGCTGATCAAGACAATCGCTTACGGTATTTATCATTTTATTTTTTGACCTCTTTATGGGCTCAGAACGTTCTGGTCCTTGTTGCATCTGTACACTCTCCACCTCCACCTCCAATTACGGCATCAGCTGACATCAGGAACAATAAGGCTCGTGATTAGAGGAAGCCTGTTTGACAAGGTATGGGCAACTACACCCCTGCACGGCTCCCTCCGTGGCTGACTTCCGTGTATAAGACTCTTCTCGATTTTCAGTCTAACAATTTTAGGAGAAAAAAAAAAAAATAGCATCTTATACACGGAAAAATACGGTAGTCAGACATTCCATTTTGGGAGAAATTAGTATGTGGAGGGTAGACAGACTGAAGTCTCCCGGGTGGATATACATTTTATGTCTGTCTTCTTGGTAGATGAAAACAGTACGGCACTCGGAACAGACGCTGAGAACAGCTCTCATCTCTAAGAACCCAGCCCTCGTGTCCCAGTATGAGAAGCTCGATGCTGCAGAGCGGCGTTTGATGAACGAAGCCTTCCAGCCCGCCAGCGATCTCTTCGGGCCCATCGTCCTGCATTCTCAGTCAGACTGGATCGCCTCCCATCCCGAGCCTCCCCAAGGCTTTGAAGAGTTTTTCAGTGATCCTTCCAGAAAGGCACCCTCTCGAGAGAAACACAGTATTTACATCCAGTGCATTGGTACATACTGTCATACGCTGCCTTTGGTTTGGTTGTGCCGTGGTGCCGTTGCCGGGGATAGTTTGGGCTGTTCATCTCATTCCGTGGCGGAAGTGTGCCTAGCCAGACTGCCTTACAAGAAGATATTTTGGTTCTAAATCATATTGGTGTTACTGAATGATAAAGGTGTTTTGAACATTTAGATTTAATTGGTTTCTAATTCCAATCCATAACTATTATAGACAGAGTATTTTAATCATCCGAACGTCTGTGTTTAAATTTTCTTCCATATGATAGGACCTCTAGGAAATACCAGAATGATCAGTGAAGAATATGTGAAATGGCTCAAGGGCTACTGTGAAGCATTTTTCTATGGCTTGACAGTGAAACTCCTGGAACCAGTTCCTGTCTCTGCAACACGGTGTGCCTTTAGAGTCAACGAGAACACGAAGAACCTGCAAATACATGCAGGTGAATGAAACAACCCCACATTTTTAATTGAGCCCAGGATGTGGAGAGAGAGAGAGATAGATGTAGATATAACACATGTACATATCTGTTTGACTAGGGCACATCCTGCACTTCTTAAAAAAGAAGAAACCTGAAGATGCCTTCTGCATTGTGGGAGTGACAATGATTGATCTTTACCCAAGAGACTCCTGGAATTTTGTTTTTGGGCAGGCCTCTTTGACAGATGGTATTCTTTTTTAATTACTTTATTGATTAAGGTATCACATATTTGTCCTCATCCCCCCCCTTTCCCATCCCAAACTTCTCCCCATCCATGCCATCACACCCTGTTGTCAGATGGTATTTTTTTTGGCATTGTTTGTAGAAACTTTCTGAACTTGAGAATATTGGAAGATGCTGAAAAAAAGGGGGGGGGGGGAATTCCATTATAATTTTGATGAAGGATATTTGAGCTCTCATTAACCTTGTATGTGACACAATGTTTATGAAACTGAAGAAAATCTTGCTTAATTGTGTGTTTTTTTTAATTTTTTTAATTTTTTGTAGTTATTTTGCATAGATGGAGTAGCCACAGATTGCTTTATAACTGTGTGCTGGTCCTGTGTGTTATTTTATTTTAAAAGAAAAGAATTAATTTTATTTTTAAAAGTAAATTTCAGTCTGTGATTGGAGATATAGTAAACTTTGACTCATTAGATACCCTGCATGGTAAAATTGGGGGTGGGCAAGGATCCAGAAGAAAATCATATTTTTTTGCCTATTTTATTTTGTCTTCACTTCTATTCTACTCATCCTTTTTTTTTTTTTTTTAAATCTTCACTTGAGGATATATTTATTGATTTTTGAGAGAAGTAGGGGGAGAGAGAAGAAGGAAGGAAGGAAAGAAGGAAATATCGATGGGTTGCCTCCCATATGTACCCCGACTAGGGATTGAATCTATAACCTAGGAATGTGCCCTGACTGGAAATTGAACCCAAACCCTCGTGGTGGTGTTTGGGACAACATTCCAACCAACTGAGCCACCCAGCAGGTCCCTCGTGTCCATTCTTGCTCTTATTTTTCTACCCTTCTCCCCAGGCTCAGAGACCCGTTTGAAGGGGAAAGGTCCAGAGAACTAAGGGGAGTGGTTATCCATTTGTGTTTGGGGATGGTGGGCATGTGCCAGGACTGTACTTTATGATACCAAGTGTATGGACTGTCTGGATCACATTTTAGTCTCCCTCTGACAGATGTTTCTATAGCTCCTCTTAACGGCAGAGGTAGGGGCCCAGGGCACTACTTCTTCATCCTCAATTCTCTGTTATCTTATGGCCCCCACTCTCCCCATGACCCAACCAATACACTCTCTTGGAGACTTGGGTCACTGCTGAGTTTCTGAGCTGTGCTGCCTTTCTTTCAAAAAGGAACTTGTACGAGCTAAATTGTTTTCTCTCCTTTTATTTTTAACCTGGTAGAGAAGGAAAACTTTAAAAAAATTAAAACTATTTATGTAGAAATTTGTGCAAGGGGCTCGGCCTGCCTTGGCCCTCGCCGTGTCTGCCCTGGCTTCGTCTGGATGGTCTTCCGGTTGTCTGGTCTCATTAGCGTATTACGCTTTTATGATTATAGATTGCTGGCTAATTTATCTTGTACATTTGAGGAGGCCAGGAGGCATTCCTCCAAAATGCTTCTACTTTAATTTTCTTCAGTTTCATAAACATTGTGTCACATACAAGAAATAGTAGCAAGCTAGCAGCATTGACCTGCCAAGTTTACCAAGTGACGCTATTCTCTCCAGGTTTACAAAGATTTGTGCTTTTAAACTGAGACATTTTTAATTATAAAGAAAACGGCCTTCTGTCTGTAGAATCATTAGGAAGCATGCCTCCGAAATGTTCTTACTAAAGGTATTGCAGTAAAACACGCCCATGCTTATTGGCCAGAGGAGGTTACTGTGACACATGAGTAGATCCAGTTTTCTTAAACCTCCAGAATGTTTTCTTCTCCCCTAAATTTCAAATACCAGTGGACACGTTCCAAAAGAGATTCTTTCTGAATCGAGTTGGATCGGACAAACTTACTATGAAATCATTTCCGTAACAAAAAGGCTCCTCATGACTTTCAAATAAGAACTGGAAGAGAGACCTGCATGAAAGTGGGAATGTAAACAAGCCAGATTATAAGGCAGTCCTCATTAGAATGAGTTGAAAACCATCCTCCGTCCTCCATGTGTGTGGAGATGTTTGAGCAAGCCTAAGACCTAACACAGGAAGTCGGTTACAAGAAGGTTTATTCTGGTCCTCTGACTCCAGCCACGGAATAAAGTGGTGCTGTGCTTGAGGGGGAGGAGGGGAAGAGGTGGTCTGTCTGTCTGTGTCTAAAGGCCCTGGCATGGCCTCCATGGCCTCAGGGCCGAGGCCTGAGGGAAGGAAAGGCCCCCTCACAGACACATAGGTCATGGAGATCTGTTTATTGTGGGGTTTAAAAAAAAAAAAAAATATATATATATATATATATATATATTTCAGAGAAGGATGGAGAGGGAGAGAGAGATAGAAACATCAATGAAGAGAGAGCCATTGATCAGCTGCCTTCTGCACGCCCCACACTGGGGATCGAGCCCGCAACCTGGGCCTGTGTTCTGACTGGGAATCGAACCTGACCTCCTGGTTCATGGGTCCATACTCAACCACTGAGCCACGCTGGCTGGGCTTTTTATCGTGTTCTTAAAGAGAAAAATCATGAGCGTGTGTTGTTCATGTGATGTGATTATTTTCATTGCTTTTTCTGGAGTACTTGATTTGGACTATTTGAGAAAAAGACTTCTTTTGTGGGAAAACTAAACCCTCCATAAGTTCCATTTTGTCAAGAATTTGACCTCAAGACGAGTGAGCTTTAGAAGGTAGGACACATTGGACAGTAGAAGAGTTTTGAGAGGAAAATCTGGGGCAAACGGAAGCCTCTTGGACTCTGTGAAGGCAGGGGTACAGTCAGACACACACTCCCTGGCCGGGCCCCTTCAGGGATCTTGCTGTCCTGCTGGCGCTTGTCCTCTCTCCGTAGGCGTGGGGATCTTCAGCTTTGCCAGGTATGGCGGTGACTTTTACAGCTCCGGCTACAAAGGCAAGGTGAAGGCGCCGCAGAGGCGATCCACGCGTGACTATTCGGCGTTCGACAGCTATTATACTCCCGACGTGACTAGTGTTTTGCTGCTTCGGTCCTGCAAGGTGAGTTGTTGACAGAACCTAATAGGATTATAAGTAAAGAGGTCTTAACACCCTCCACTGCACATCCATGCTCCTCAAGGTAATATCATCAGTGAGCATGTATCACTTGTCTACTTTTGGTGGCTGTTGCTTGGCTGAAATAATGGATACCTTAATATTGAAATGTACAGTATCTGCCCCTGTCTTGTCCTATTATTTATACGCGGCCTTGACTGTGCCCACATCCTCACCATTAGTTTAATTCCGGAATTGTGTGTGAGTAGGTAGCCCATCCAGGAAAGCTGCCTTCCTGGGGCCTGAGGTTCAAGGAGGATGGCCTTGCTCTTGGTCTCCAGGTTCCCTCCTGCTGACAGTCCCTGCTGTCTTCCCCCCCCCAAGCCCCTCCTGCTCCTGGGAAAGCCTGTCTCCCTCCTCCATAGCCGGGGGCCTAGGCTTCTCTGCTTCTACCAGTCCTCTCTGTGGGGTTTGAGACCATCGCCTCGCAGAGCCGTGTCTGCAGGGAACATTCCCTGCACCGGCATCACCTCCTGTGCTTGTTAACATGCAGGTCAGACCCACTGACACAGCATCTCTGGGGGAAGCGCTCCAGGCTCTAAATGGTTACCCAGGCTCTCACCCAGCGGCAGTCACCACCAGGGATCTTTTGGCCTTGTGGGGGATAGTTCTGGTTGTCACAGCTGGAGAGTGGGTGTTACTGGCATCTAGTAGGGAGAGGTCTGGGGTGCTCCTTCAGGGCACGGGATAGCCTCCTTCCCACAAGAGGATTCCCACCCAAAGTGTCAGTGGTGTAGAAACTGAGAAGCCCGGGTCCGGTAATTAAGTGGGGTTAAGTGTAGTGAGGAAAGCAGGAAGACATTAAATGAAACAAGGGGTTAAGTCTTGGGCAGATTGAAGTTTTGGGGATGATGGTGAGGGAGTTGGTTCCTACAAATCTGTTTCTTAGAAAAGTAAGGAAAAGCAGGGTGTGTAACTCACTGTTGATGGCGGCTCTGTAAAGCCTCAGTGTGCATGTCTTGCAGACTTTAACCCACGAGATTGGACACATATTTGGACTCCGACACTGCCAGTGGCTTGCATGCCTAATGCAAGGCTCCAACCACTTGGAAGAAGCTGACCGGCGCCCCCTGGACCTGTGCCCTATCTGTTTACGCAAGTTGCAATGTGCTATTGGCTTCAACATTGTAGAAAGATACAAAGTAAATGGGGATGGGGTCGTCAAAAGGGAGAAGTGGTTATATAAGTAGCAAACTATGATTTTATATTAGGCCCCTCTATGGAGCTGTCATTTATCAGAGGAAACTAGTGCAAAGATAAGCAGGAAGCTATGGTTAAAAAAAAGGAGAGAGAAATAGCCTCCTTAAAAACTTGACTCACCTCAGAGTGCCTTACACTTGTAGTTCATGAGCAGTGGTGGGAGATGTTTCCGCATTTGCCATTCATTTATGACAAGAGAGCCTGAATCTTCGGAACAGAATAAATGCTGATGTGTGTGCAAAGTTCCTTTTTAAAAACTATAAAAACTGTGGAAGACAGAGGTATAGTTATTAGGAGGAAAAGGTGATTTTGAGAAGGAAGAGGGGAAATGCATAATCTCAGTATGTGTGAAGGTATGTGTGTCCTCACGTGCCCACAAACATCAAAACTACTCATGGTACAACTACCCATTCAGGTAACTGCATCACACGTCTACATGTACCTTCATATGTGTACTCTTAGCTGTGAGTGCACTTAACCTGTGTGTATGCATTCATATAAAATCAAAAGCATACTTTAATGCCTTGTGGGACATTTAGCAAGTTGAGAAAACAATATTCTCCCACCCTAGAAAACTGTGAGGATCAGTGTATTTATTTTTCATCTTTTCTCCTATGCATATGTGACTGTAATTTATCAACATAGCATATTTTGGGTGTATATTCGTTCACTCAGGATGTTAGCTAAGTGTTCTTTTCATATTCATAACCGTCTTTATCAAGTGGATCATCTTTATGGGTAATCTAAGTTACAGATTCAGAGAATCTGATTTAGAAGCCAGTGTTTTTCTCCTGCCTAAAACTATTTGCTGTGCTTTCTTAAAATATTAACCTTCCTTCTTTTTTTCAAGGCCCTGGTGAGGTGGATCGATGATGAATCTGCTGACACGCCCCGAGGCACCCCGAAGCATGGTCCTGATGGTAACGTGAATCTGCCCAAACCTGTGGAAGCCTTTGAGGAGTGGAGAGAGTGGATAATGAAATGCCTTGCTGTTGTCCAAAAGTAAGGGCCTTCAGATAGGAGTAATTAAAATACTTGCACATTATGCCTTCTTTTCTGTGGAGTGTTTCATTGGAGTAAACTGTTTTCTGATCCTGCCCTGTACCATGGTGTATGCACAGGGAACCCCAAAATATCGATGTCACTCACTTGATTGCCATATTCCCTTTATTGCTGTGGTCTGGAACCGGACCCCCACTATCCTGTAGTGACAATGCTAACTGAACTCTACCTGGGAAGAGGTGTGGTATTGGGGTTACAATTATTTAGACAATATGTAATGCCCATTTGAACCTACTCTGCCCTGTGAGAGCAGGAAAAAGATCTTCTGTTATAGAAACAAGTCACTTAGTCTTTTAAAAGTTAGACAAACATGAGTTTTATGTAACAGGCATTAATTCAGCAACCATCACCTACATGTTGTGTATAACTAGTGGGTTGTGTGTACCTTTGGGCAATTTCCTAGGGTTGAGATTTGTTTACTGCAACTATTTCATGCCCTATCCGTGATCTTTGTAGTTGCTAAATATGAAATCCATTTAAGTTTTTAAAAAATATATATATTTTATTGATTTTTCACAGAGAGGAAAGGAGAGAGATAGAGAGATAGAAACGTCGATGAGAGAGAAATATCGATCAGCTGCATCTTGCACACCCCCTACTGGGGATGTGCCCGCTCCCCATGTACATGCCCTTGACCGGAATCGAACCTGGGACCACTGAGCCAAACCGGTTTCGGCCCATCTAAGTTTTGTTCTGCAAATGCTGAATGGAGAAAATTAAGTGAGTCTGAAATGCTGTGCACTTCGGTGCGGGTGGAATTAGTGTATCTCTCGGTCGGGGGAAGGATTAAGCGTTAGCATTTCATTCCGCTGAGACTGGGGAGGGGGTGGCGGTGGTTTAAATAGAAGATGGCAAAGATCCTGCTCAGAGTCTAGTCCCCAACTTGTTCTCCGGGCCGCAAATTCAGCGGATCTGAATACTTGTAAAGTTCGAACCCTCAGAGGCCCCGGGGCGGGCTGGTATCCTCTTGCGAGCGAGCCAAACCCGGCGGCGGCCCGCCCTGCCCGGCCCGGCCGGCCCTGCCCCCACAGGAAGCGGCGTGGCTGTCGGGGCTGAGCCCAGCGGGAGCGGAGCGGGAGCGGACCAGCTGCTGTGAGCCCGGGGCTCAGCTGCTCCCCCGGCCACACCGCGACCTCCTCCCCCAGCGGCCGCCGCGCAGCGCTGACTCCGCCTCCCCGGGGGGGGCCTGCCGCCCCCCAGTGTCTGGCTGCAGCGCACGGCCCCGGAGGCCTCGGGAACCGCATGGCGAGGCCAACGCCACCGCCGAGCAGTAAGTGGAATCCTGTCCTGGGAGAGCAGTGAACAGTGCTTTCCGAGAGCCTGAGCCTGAAGTCCCTTCCCGTCCCGAAGGGCGACCTGGAGCAGAGCCGTCCGATGCTAATGTAACGAGCCACACACACACACACACACACACACACACACACACTCACACACTCACTCACACGTAGGGAACGACAGTGTTCCGGGCAGCCGCGTGAGCCAATGCAGAGGGAGCAGGTGAAACGCATTTCATTGAACTCAGCATATCCAAACTGTTGTCCCAACGTGTGCTGAGTGTCCCCGTTTCTGAGATATGTCCCTTCTGCTTTCGTCCTAGCCTTCAGGTTCTGGCTGTTTTACACATACGGCGCGGCTCAGGCACAGGCGCCTCCCCAGGGCCCCCACTGCTGCTCTTGGGCGCCCAGCTCCGGGTTAGGGCCGCCTCGTGGTCTCCAAGGAAGGATGGGCCTGTGAAGTTGAATTAAAGGGAGAGGAAAACTTTTTTTAAGGAAAGGTTCAGAGGCTCCCCCCCTCTCCCCGCCCCCTCCCGCAGTACAGTGAGTGTTGACACTCAGGCAGCAAGGGCGTGAACCCCGAAGGGTCCCTGGCTTGGCGCTGGGGTCACCTCTGGGTCTGGCTGTTGCTCTCTTGCTGTTGCCAAAGGTGTGGTGTTTCCTTTACCTGCGCTTTCACTCTTGGAGAGAACTGTGAAGTGTTAATCCTGTGAAGCCGCTGAGGCCCTTCCAGGGGGGGGCGGGCAGCTGAGGAAATGGTGTGCGGTGACACCAGTGGCAGCAATGAAACCAGATCCGTCTCCCTGTTCCCAGTGGTGCTTTGTTTTCTCTGCTGCATGACCTCATCCGAAATAAAACACCACAAGCTGGAAACCTACCATTTTCTTCCAGTTGCTTATAAACGGGGTTATAAGGTCAAACTCTCTTTCAGCCTCTTGACTCTTAAGTAGGGCCGCTGAGCTTGCTCAAAGGGAGAGAAACCAAATGCTTTGCTTTAACATAAAAATAAAAGATTTCGCAGTAGCTGGTTTGGCTCAGTGGATAGAGCAAATGCCTGAAGGTTCTTGGGTTCAATTCCGACCACAGGCACGTGCCCGGGTTTTGGGCTCGATCCCCAGTGCAGGAGGCAGCTGATTGATGGTTCTTTTTCATCATTAGATGTTTCTATCGCTCCCTCTCTCTTTCTCTATGAAATCAATTTTAAAAAATGTTTTTAAAAAGAGATTTAATATCCAGGAAAGCATTTGCTGCCATTTGAAACATTAAAAAACAAACAAACAAACAAAAACAACAACATGGAGCCCCACAGGCTTTGCTAAGTGGTTGAGCATTCACCTGTGAACTAGAATTTCCCGGTTAGGGCACATGACTGGCTTGGTCCCCAGTAGGGGGTCCCCAGTAGCTGATCCAAGATTCTCTCTTATCACTGATGTTTCTATCTCTCCCTCTGAAATCAATAAAATATATGTATATGCATATATATATGTATGTATGTATGTATTTTTTAAAGCCTTTATAGATAGAGGTTTGGGATACCAGTTTTGGTATCTAATTTGCCCTTAAGAAATCCGTAGTCACTGCAGAACTTACGATTTGGTTGTGAGAGTTTATTTAACATGAAGAGTGAAGTTGCAAGTTGAACTTGTCACTTTTCTTATTCTGCACCCTGAGGCAGTCAATACAGAAACAGAACACCAGAGGGCGCTAGGCTCCTTACTTATGAGACTGGCGGGCCCACCTGTTGGAGCTTGTAGCCCTCACTTCTATTAACATCTGTGCCCAAGACAAATCCAAAGACAAGGACGCGCTTTTATCAATACAATGTATGTTTGTCGGAGTGACCTTTAAGCAGGTGACATGCCGAGGTGACTTTAAGTTAGTCACTAAAAGGAGTGTTCGTTGCCACTTAAGAATTTAAAGGAAATGGCTTCTAAATGCCAGATCCCTAATAGAGAGCCTCCTGTCTGGGAGCATTTTAAAAATAAGGATTCATGACCATTTCTTTATGAATTTTAGGATATTTGAGGCATGCAGAAATGTAAGTATAATAAATACCTTCCATGAACGTCAGTGGTGACCTGAACCATGGGAACCATGATTTGAAAACCATTTTCTCTCTCTCTCTCTCTGTTTTTATTGACTTTAGTGAGAGAGAAAGAGAAGCATCGATCGGCTGCCTTTTGCGTGTGCCCTGACCCCGAGTCCCTTTGGTGCACAGGCTGAGCCACCCAGCCAGGTGGTCTGTTTCTGTGATACTAAGTAGTGTGTTACCATCAACTTTGTTCTTCTTTCTCAAGGTTGCTGTGGCTGTTTGGGGTCTTCTGTGGTCTATATAAACATTTGGATTATGTGTTCTAGTTTTGTGGAAAATGCCCTTCGTGTTTTGACAGGGTTTGCATTGAATTTATAGGTTGCTTTGAATAGTTTGGATATTTAAATATTCTTTCTATCCATAGCACAGTATGTTTCCATTTATTTGTGCATTTCTTTCTTTAGTATCTCATACTTTTCCAAGTACAGACCTTTTGCATTCTTGGTTACATTTATTCCTAAGTATTTTATGTTGTTTTTTTTTTGTTTTGTTTTTTTATGCACATGGGATTGTTTTTCCTAGTTTCTCTGATAGTTCATTATTGGTGTATAAAAATGCAACCAGTTACTGAATATTAACTTTGTATCCTGCTACTTTATTGAATTTATTTATGAATTCTTATAGGTTTTTGGTGGAATCTTTAGGGTACCCTACAGATAGTATCATGTCATCTGCAAATAATAACAGTTTTACTTCTTCCTTTCCAATTTGGAATCCTTTTATTTCTTCTTCTTGTCCAATGGCTGTGGCCAGAATTTCCAGGACTATGTTGAATAGGAGTGACAGTAGACATCTCTGTCTTGTTCCTGATCTTGAGGAAAAGTTTTTTCCCCACTGAGTATGACATTAGCTCTGAGTTTGTCATATACTGTATGATTTTCATTATATTGAGGTATGCCCCCTCTATTTCTACTTTGCTGAGAGTTTTTATTATAAATGGGTGCTAGATTTTATCAAGTGCTTTTTCTCCCATCTAAGTACTAACCAGGCCCGACCCTGCTTAGCTTCCGAGATCAGACGAGATCGGGTAAGTTCAGGGTGGTATGGCCGTAGACTCAAGTGCTTTTTCTGCATCTATTGATATGATCATATGATTTTTATCCTTCGTTTTGTTTACGTGGTGTATCACATTCATTGATTTGCAGATATTAAACCAACCTTGCATCCCAAGAAAAGAACCCCACTCCATCCTGGTGTATGATCTTTTTAACGCATTGCTGATATTTTGTTGAAGATTTTGCATCTATGTTCATCAGGGAGATTAGCCTATAACTTTCCTGCTTTGTAATGTCTCTCTCTGGTTTTGGAGTCAGGATAATGCTGGCCTCTTAAAATGAGCTTCCGAGTCTTTCCTTCTCTTACCTTTTCGGTATAGTTTGAGAAGGATCCATGGTAATTCTCCTTTGAATGTTTGATAAAATGGAACTGTGAAGCCATCTGGTCCAGGAGTTTTGTCTGTCTGTGGCTAGCTTCCCACTACAACGGCAGGGTTGAATAGCTGTGACAGTGGCCTCACAGCCCCCAGAGCCTTAAGTACCATCTGGATCTTCACAGAAAAAGTCCACCAGCCCCTGGCCTGGAGAGTCAGCGCTGTCCACTCAGAGGGAGAGCAGTTCTTAGGATTGGTCTGTAAGGGAACAGTCTTAACCGTTCCACTTACAACAGTTGAGAGGCTTAGCTTTTACTCTGTGGCTGCTATGATATCATTTCATTCATTATTTCATTCAAGAAATAAATTCAGCAAACACTTTTTGGAAGTGTTTGTGTCTCTAGTAGTAGACTTAAACTTTTTTTTTTTTTCAGAAAAGTTGTTTTTATAGCTATAATTGGATCAAACAATCAATGCTGAGTCAATTAAAAACACACGAATCAATCCCTTTAAATAAAAAAGCTATATATTTATTACAAATCTAGAAGTACCAGAGTGTCCCTCGTACAGAACAAATAAGCAATCCCGTTTTAATTTTCTTCCAAACATTGAAAACCTTGATTATTGACAAACTGGAATTGGCATACATTTTTTTTCCCCCCATGCAGTTAACAGAATGGACATAGAGCCCGGAGCTCAGAGACCAGTTATAAATATTAAACCGTATTTAACATTCAGAGTAAAAAGGGTTATAAAGTGCTGAAGTCACGTAAGTCTGCAACACCGTCACAAGCTCAGTGTCCTCCTCCAGCAGGGACCGGTCTGCCACACCCGCCTTGTTTTCGGTGTGCGTCTTTTTGACGAACACTTTGTCACTTCCTGTCCCACCTTCCCCCAGAGATTGACAGACTGTCCTGTGCCTATGGCTGATCAAATTCTGTACAACGTGTAGCAGGCGGTGCTGGACGATGCCACTTCCACTTCAGTGCAGAGAAATATTCAAGCTTTGTGTACCTGTAACCAAACTAGGCCTGTGATACTGTTTCCCCCTGAGTTGTCACAAATCCACAGTGAAGATGAATGAGGATGGAGCAGCGAGCACGGCCCGTCACCTGCAGAGTCAGAGTCAGTATGTAGGAGCAAGCAACCCACCCGTTTTCCTCACCTCGACCTTCTTTACAGCCAATGGCTAAAATGAGCCGTACATATAGTGTAACTGCAAACAAAAACAAAAACAAAAACAAAGCAACAATGATCAATTACCCTGAAAACTCTGGCAAATTAGAGGGGTCAGAGTCTAGATAAGACGGAAAATCGCCCCCGGTGATGCGTGATGGTCAAGCTGACGTCCCTGCCGCCCCGTGTGAAACAGGCGTGCTTCGGCAGTCCGATGGTTTTCTTTCTAAACCAGAGATGCTTCAGCCATTCAGTGAGAGAGAGTTCTAGTCCAAAGAGCATCCTCGAGTATTGTTAGGCGAGGAAACCTTGTTTTAAGAGGCTAAGGCTATTTGCTACTCGTTATATCCCCCCTACAAACAGCACGTGCTGCCGTCAGCCACATCGAAGAGGCATTACCCCTGGAGTAACTTTACGGGGGACGTGGTGTTCACATCTCTGAGGCGTTGAAAGGATTGCCAAGGGCCGAAGCCGGTTTGGCTCAGTGGTAGAGCGTCGGTCTGCAGACTGAAAGGTCCCAGGTTTGATTCTGGTCGGGGGCATGTACATTGGTTTCGGGCACATCCCTGGTAGGGGGTGTGCAAGAGGCAGCTGGTCGATGTTTCTCTCTCATAGACGTTTCTAGCTCTCTATCTCTCTCCCTTCCTCTCTGTAAAAAATCAATAAAATATATTAAAAAAAAGAAAAAGAAAAGAAAAGAAAAGAAAGGATTGCTGAGGGAGGCGAGAGGGATGTGGGTGTCCCAGGTGGTATTTCCCGTGATGATGACGTCAGTCATCCTAGAATAACTTAATAATAAATAGTGGTTTACATTAAAGGTACTACCATCACATATTCCTGAATAATTAAGAGCATCAGGAAGTGCATTTTGAATGCTATTCCGTATATCCCGTGTGAAATACTTCTGGTAATGGCTGGGCCATCAACCAAATGTTGGCTCTTAAAGTGTACTTCATGTCCACTGACTATGTAGGAAGTTAAGAGGTTACACGTCTTTAATATAAAACCTCAATATTTTTCCAAGAGTGTTAAATGATTTGTTCATATTTCTGAAAGTGAGAAACTGGAAAAGTGATTTAGGATGTTTGTGGGCATTTTGGAATGGCCAATTTCATTTCAGTGACCTGGGCTAGAACCCGTTTTACAGGACAGTGGGTGAGATACGGGAGATGCGCTTACAACCACTGTGCCGCCTGGCATCGCTGTTTTAAACCTGGAGTGTGAACCTTCTGCGTACCTCTGCATCGCCCTGGGGTGCAGCCCGGTTTCTGTACGGAAGAGTATTTGGTTGTTTCTGTTTTGGCTTAAAGAACAAGCAGACAGGAAAGCATAAAAAGAAGGATGCTGTTGGTGGTGCCCGTGGACCCGTTCCCCGCAGAGTGCCATTTTGAAAGCAGGTGGGACGGTCAGCTCCTCTACACCACGGTGCCCCCAGCCAGCCAGCAGGGTGGCTGATGTACCAGAGTCTGTCTGTCATTCCAGCTCCGATTTCATAGGAACTTTATGCTCGTGCTTCCCAAGGTCCATCTCAAGGAAGTCTTCAGGGACGTCTTGTAAAGCTCTCCCCCGGCAGCTCTCGGCCTTCCTGTCGCCCGCGGGCTGGCGCCGGCACAGCCCCTTCCCGCAGGGCCTCACCAGCGCCAGGCACCCCGCGGCCACCGCCATGCCCGCAGCGCAGGAGTAGAAGGCTCTGCTGTACACCTTGCTGTGGTCCACCAGCAGCCCTGGGGAGCATGCACACCGTTAGCATCCGGGCACCAAGCCCCTCTCCCAGCCTCCCACACAGACGCTCCTCTCTCTTTGCCTGCTTTGTTTTATCTTGTTTATCTAAAGAACGTGTCCAAGGCAGGAATCTTTTAGACTGGGGGGGGCGGGGGAGGGGATAAATAAAGCAGACAGACAGTGTATACTTATTAGCAACCGAGGTAATGGTGTTGCTAAAATGCCTCCATTGGCTGCCAGACCGGCGTGGCTCAGTGGTTGAGCATCGACCTGCGAACCAGGAGGTCACGGTTCGGTTCCCGGTCAGGCAGAGCATATGCGCAGGTTGTGGGCTCGATCCCCAGTAGGGGGTGTGCAGGAGGCAGCCAGTCAATCAGTGATTCTCTCTCATCGTTGATGTTTCTATTTCTCTCACCCGCTCCCTTCTTCTCTGAAATCAATAAAAACATATATTTTTAAATGCCTTCATGGGCTAATCTGTCCTAAAATATGGGACTGCTGGATGCATGCTTCTTCAGAAAGGGAATATTCTTTTATTTATTTATTTATTTTATTGATTTTTTACAGAGAGGAAGAGAGAAGGATAGAGAGTTAGAAACATCAATGAGAGAGAATCATCCATCAGCTGCCTCCTGCACACCCCATACCGGGGATGTGCCCGCAACCAAGGTACATGCCCTTGACCGGAATCGAACCTGGGACCTTTCAGTCCCCAAGCCAACGCTCTATCCATTGAGCCAAACCGGTCTCAGCGGAAAGGGAATATTCTTAAGAGAGGAAAGAGCTCTATTATTTTCACACGTCTCTGTTCACATGGGGTAAGATTTCCAGTCCCAACAACCCTAAGGTCCTACTTCAGGTCTAAGGTATGAGACACACCGTGTCCTTCCCACGAGGATGTGTGGGTAAGTGATCAGGGCCGAATGGAGTGCTGCTCTGTGCGCAGGTCCCGACACTCCTCCCAAGAAGGGAAGGTGGCTCACAGAACCCGTTACCCTCTGTCCTGCTGTCCCACAGTCAGAGGGTAATGAGCTCAAAACCCATGGCCCCTCCAGCATTTATAAAGCAGGATGGTGGGCAAGGCCTGGGCAGCTGGGGCTGCAGAGGGACTTGGTCACTGGTTTACCATTGGACCATCGGCTCATAATCTTTGACTTCCGTTTCCTCCTATTTAAGTTCAGAGAGCTGCTCAGGTCCTCTCTAACTCTGCCAACTCTGTAATTCTGTGGAAGTATGAGAATCAGTAGACTTTTAAATTAGACTCGAACAGGACGCTAGCACAATTAATGAGGGAATACTAAACATTGCAGATTATATAATCCATAGGACAGGGCCCACTTTATGATATAACTAGAGGCCTAGTGCATGAAATTTGTGCACTCGGGGGCAAGGGCGGATCCCTCAGCCTGACCCACAGTGCCCTCTCGAAGTCTAGGAGTCCTTGGGGGATATCCTCAGTCAGACATCTTAGCACTGCCACACCCCTGCATTTGCTAGGAGCACAATGACCACCAGGGTGAAGCGCCTGCCTTGAGCATCTGCACCCTGGTGGTCAGTGCGTGTCATGGTGACCTGTCATTCTGCCCTTTGGTTGATTTGCATATTAGCCTTTTATCATATAGGATATGATCTCCACTGAGAGCCTATGAAGCTACCTCCAGTCTTCCTTAGGAATATTCCTGCTCTAAACAGTGTGTCACGTTGAACTAGTATGACTTAGGGCCAGGAAGGCGACAGATGTCCCACCTGCCCAACCCTGCGTTGAAGAAGAGAGGGGGAGGGGGTCGCAGACAAGGGTTTGGATTTGGCGTTGTGGCCACGTTACCTGCCAGGGGCGGCCCGGCGAGCGCCGCGATGCTCTGAAGGAAGACGTAGACCCCGGCGGCAGAAGACATCTTCTCGATGCCCGCCACGTCGTCCTCCGCCAGCAGGGGGATGTGGGTGCCCGCCACGGTCCCGAGCATGACGCCAAACAATACGCTGCAGGACATCAAGCCCCAGAACCCAGTCGCAAACGTAAAGGCAAACAGAGACACGGTCAGCAAGAGGACGAAGATGAGCTCGATGTAGATCTTGCGGATGGGCTGGCTGTTGAGGATGAAGCCAGCGCCAATCCTCCCGAACACCTCGGCGATGGCCATCGTGGACAGCAGCAGGGCAGCACGGTCCTGGGCGACGCCCAGGCTGACGCCCAAGGGGATGATGTACAGGGAAGGGGCGAAGAACCCCAGCGTCGCAAAGAGACCGAACAGCGTGTACCAGATGAAGCTCCTGTCCCTCAGGACGGAGAAGTCCAGCAGGGGGCCTCGCGGGGGGCGGGGCTGCTCCAGGACCTGCTGCTCCACGTCGGCCTTCGGCTCCAGCTCCGCGGCCGCCTGGCCAGGCACGGTTTTAGGTGAGGTAGCGAGTTCCACTCCTGAGTCGATGGAGTCTATCGAGGTGCGCGTCTTCTCGTTCTCCAGCATGTACTGCACTTCCTTTGCAGTGTCCTGTCCGGCAGTTTTCGGGGACCCCGGCCCCGAGATGAGAATCGGCCTCAGCAGGGCCCCACAGAGGACGATGTTCAGCTGCAGCAGGCCCACCAGGAGGAGGCTGTGTCTCCAGCCGATGTTCTCCTTCAGGGCCGTGAATGCTCGGGTGGGCGGGAGGGAAGAGAAATAGAAGGTGAGGCCAGGCATCGACTCTAGACACAGGAGACACCCCTGAGCAGAAACAGGGATTCCGAGTTGGCTCAATGACTCCTTTTGGAATGGATGTTTTCAAGCCTTGCTGCGGAATAGGTAGATGCCACAGATCTTCCCGTTTGTGTAAATTTGAACTAGGATTGAAATGTTTGAATTCCTGCCGAAACCGGTTTGGCTCAAGTGGATAGAGTGTCGGCCTGCGGACTGAAAGGTCCCAGGTTCAGGTTCGATTCCGGTCAGGGGCATGTACATTGGTTGCGGGCATATCCCCAGTGGGGGGTGTGCAGGAGGCAGCTGGTCGATGATTCTCTCTCATCGATGTTTCTAACTATCTATCCCTCTCCCTTCCTCTCTGTGAAAAATCAATAAAATATATTTAAAAAAAAAAAAAAAGAAAAGAAAAAAGAAATGTTTGAATTCCTACCCAGCTAGTGTGACTCAGTGGTTGAGCATCGAACCAGGAGGTCACTGGTTCGATTCCCAGTTAGGGCACATGCCTGGGTTGTGGGCTCGACCTCCATTGTGGGCGTGCAGAGGCAGCTGATCAATGATTCTCTCTCATCGTTGCTGTTTCTTTCTCTCTCTCTCCCTCTCCCTTCCTCTCTGAAATCAATACAAATGTGTTTGAATTCCTAACATGAGGGTCAGGGAGGCCGCCCCCCAAAAGTGTGCTGGAGGAGAGAAGGAAGCCCCTTTCCTTACGCAGTTACAGCCGTCCCGTGGCCAACTGCGGGGCGAGTGAGAGGCATCGGAGCCGAGCGGCTTCCCCACGTCGATGCCCAGACTGGCGTCACCTACCTGGTGCGAAAGCAAACATGGCAAAGCATTCCCCCGTGGAAGCCGCTGCGGTGACGATCGAGCGCCTCTTGTCGAAGTACTGAGACAGGATGGTGAGAGCGGGCAGGAAGCTGAAGCAGTAGCCCAGGCCTGTGCGAGGCAGAGAGCACGGTGAGAGCCTCGCACGGACTGGCATCAGGAAGATGCATCTTAAGGCCTGGGGGGTTTGTGTTTGTTTGTTTGTTTATAATATATTTTATTGATTATTTCACAGAGAGGAAGAGAGAGGGATAGAGTGTTAGAAACATCGATGAGAGAGAATCATCCATCAGCTGCCTCTTGTACACCCCCACTGGGGATATGCCCGCGACCCAGGTACATGCCCTTTGGCTGGAATCAAACCCGGGACTTTTCCATCCACAGGCAGACGCTCTATCCACTGAGCCAAACCAGTTTCGGCTGTGTTTTTGTTTTAAATCGTAAGTTCTGGGAGCTTCCGGAAAAGGTCTCATGGGAAAGGATTTCATTAGAGGTCTGGCGATGCTGCGACAATTGTTTTGGGATGCTTAGAGTATGAAAACTGTTTTCTGTTTGTTTTTCTGCTTTGTTTTTTTGTATTTTTCCCCCCAGATATATATGATTCAAAGTGGATATTATTTGTATTGAATATAATTTTTATATATAAGATTTCCATTAGGAAATAAGTTTTGAATTGTACAGAAATATCTAAAAATTTTAAGTGTGCAAAATTAGCTACATATGCATATATACATAATACAATATGTCATATCTATCTATCCTATATAATAAAAGGCTAATATGCAAATTGTCCCCTTGATTGGGAGTTCTACCGGGAGTTTGACCAGGGGGTGGGGCCAGCCCCTCCCCAGTAGCTGGCCCTGCCCACATTGGCACCCCCACTCGGATTAGCCAGCCAACCTCCCACATCCCCTCCCACTGGCCAGCCTGGCCCAATCGGCCCTCCTATCAGGATGAGTTGGCCAGACCCCCGCCATGCACAAATTCGTGCACTGGGCCTCAGTCCACATAATATATGTCTGTAGAATATATATATGTGTCAGCAATGCATGGACTCCTTTTTAAGTAAAAAACGTTTCCTCAGACTCCTAAGCATAAGCCTCCCCCAACAGCTCAGGATCCTCAGACCCTGATTTGGGAAATACTGGGTAAAGAAATTAAAATCTTACTTTGTGAAAATGATGTCTTTGAGTGGCAAACTATAGGGGTTGGCAGTAGCAGGTTTACAGTTGTGAGTATGCAAAGCAGAGCTTATTCTTGTATTATTTATTTTTATTTTCCATATGAACAACTGTAAACCTACTTTTGCCCCACCCCGGTTTCACTGAAGGGGCTTCCTTTCTCATTGGTAAACACTGAAGAATTCGACGAAATTTCTTGGGCATTGAGACTAGATTCTCAGATCCCTGGAGTCCGTACCACCTGTTCCAAACGACTAATCTGGGACACTTTGTTTAATTATTATTTTTAATCCTCACCTGAGGATATTTTTTCTTTGATTTTTAAGGAGAGTGGAAGGCCTAGACCGGTTTGGCTCAGTGAATAGAGCGTCGGCCTGCGGACTGAAAGGTCCCAGGTTCGATTCCTGTCAAGGGCATGTACCTTGGTTGCAGGCACATCCCCGGTAGGGGGTGTGCAAGAGGCAGCTGATGGATGATTCTCTCTCATTGATATTTCTAACTATCCCTCTCTCTTCCTCTCTGTGAAAAAAGCAATAAAATATATTTTAAAGAGAGAGAGAGAGAGAGAGAGAGAGAGAGAGAGAGAGAGAGAGAGGAAGAAAGAGGGAAGGACAGGGAGAAATGTTGATGAGAAAGGGACAGAGGAAAAGAAATAACACTTTGGATTTGAGTCCCTGCTTCCCTTCCTTGTCCTTCAGACCACGTGTCTGGAAAACTCTCGAGCCCGGAGGAGCGCTTACCGGAGACGATGCCGATGGCGACGTACATGTGGTACACCTTCTGGGAGAAGGAGGCCGCCACCATCCCGGCGCTGACCAGCAGGCCTCCCGCCATCACCACCGGGCGGTGCCCGAAGCGGCTGCTCAGGACGGTGGAGAGGGGGGCTGCGTGGAAAGAGCATAGCGTGACGTTTGGCTGCCAGCGTTTGCTTTGGCACAATTCCTTCTGTAACGTCTCGCACATGGAGAGACAGAGCACACTGTATAACACAAAAGCTCCGGCTCCTCCCCTGCTCGGGTCCTGGTTGGGGCTCATGCAAGAGGCAACCAATCAATGTATTTCTCTCACACAGATATTTCTCTCTGTCTCTCCCTCTTCCTTCCACTCTCCCTAAAAAAGTCAATGGAAAAAACATCCTTGGATGAGGATTAGCACAAAAAATTTTTTTAAAAAAGCACAGGTTTTCAGATTGTGGGCTTGAGCCCTCCAGTAGGGGTCATGCAGGAGGCAGCCGATCAATGATTCTCTCTCATCGTTGATGATTTTATCTCTCTCTCCCTCTCCCTTCCTCTCTGAAATCAATTTAAAAAAAAAAAAGTTGCATCCCCCGTGGAACTGGAGGTTATTGCTGTCCTCAAAGTAAAGGACAGCAGCCTAAGGATCTGCTCGCAATAGGTGTCTAATGAATGTGTGTTAAACTAAAGTCAGTCAAGGTTGACAAGTAAGACTTTCTCTCCCCTCACCCCCCCATCCCCCCAGCTCCTCTTTCTCAGGCCATTCTCAACTTCCTGAAAACTGTATTACTTGAGGCTAGAAAGTGCCAAGAGGTCATGGATAAAATGCATCACAACCACAATGTGTACCATTCTGTCGTCAGGCAACTTAAAATTAACAATGTTGAAGGGGAAAGATCTACTCACCTGTAAACGTTAAGAAAAACACACATATTGATATGATCCATGAGATCTTGCTATTAGATTCCTCAAAACTGTCCATTAAGTCAGTAAAGAAGACGCCAAACGACTTGATGACACCATAGGTAAAGACTTCAATGAAGAAGAAAGACACAGCTACTGCCCAGCCCCACCCTCCGTCAGGCACTTGAGTATAAACATTGGCTCCGGAACAAAACTGTGGTTTCTTCTCGGTCATTCTTAATCTGAAATAAAAAGTTTTAAAAGGTCAGGACCATAATAGAACGAGGGCTGATGATTCGAATGCTCTTTAGCAAACATAACAGATAGGAACTGTTTATCACATTTCTTAGGTTGATGAACCATGTGCAGTTAGTATAAAGTCTTTGGATAATAAAAGATCTAATGGAGCCGAAACCAGTTTGGCTCAGTGGATAGAGCATCGGTCTGCGGACTGAAAGGTCCCAGGTTCGATTCTGGTCAGGGGCATGTACATTGGTTGCGGGCACATCCCCGGTAGGGGGTGTGTAAGAGGCAGCTGGTGGATGTTTCTCTCTCATCGACGTTTCTAGCTCTCTATCTCTCTCCCTTCCTCTCTGTAAAAATTCAATAAAATGTATATTTTAAAAAATAATAATAAAATAAAAAAGATTTAATGGAGCCCCCAAAGAATTTAAAGGTAAGATTTCCAAGCTATGGAAATTAAATGGGAAAAACAAACTAACATAAAGCATCAGGGAAGATATTTACTAGTAGAGGCAGTGTGAAAGACAGAGAATGGCCAAAAGACCAAGCCTCAGTGGTGACCTTGAACTTGAAGACAAGTTAGGTAAAGGAAGAGTGAAGTGAGCAAAGGGAATATTGTTCAGAAATGAAACCTAGATTGGTAGAGGATTAAAAATGGTGGTAGAGTAAGTGGATGCCGCATAGACATTCTCTCAGAAACAGACTGGAATTACAACTAAAATACAGAAAAACTTCCCGAATAACCAACAGAAGACTCACAGGAGAACCCTGATATCCAGGGACCAAAAGTGGAGACTGCATAGAGACTGGTTGGAGGTGCAAAAGGGCTGGCCAGGCATCCACAAACAGCAACTGAAGGTCTGGAGAGATATCTCAGCTGTGGGGAATTGCCACTGAGAACTCTGGGAGCTAATCCCCAAGCTGCCCCTGCCCTTTCGACCCAGCAGAGAGCACCAGAACTGAGAAGGGTACCTACATAACATCTGGCTGTGGAAAGCAGTGGTGGTGCTTTCTGCTAGGGAACAACATCTAGAAATTCAGGCACCCTCTTAAAGGGCCAATGCACAAAATCCTTGTGCTCTGGCAGAGGGAGGGCAGAGTGGACTGGAGCTGTGGGAGCAGAAGCCAGGATTGGGGACTTGGGGATTAGAAGGTCACTTCAGAGACTAAAAAGAACAATTAGCCTCCAGGCAGACGCAAGTGCCCCATTCTTAAAAAAACAAAAAACAAAAAAAAACCCCACAAACTCGCCATACCTGAGGACACTTGCCTGGGGCCATTCAAGTCTGAATTCTATTAGTCTGTAGGCAGAGGTGGTCTCTGGAGACTTTGAGTCTTTGCCTGATCTAATTAGTTAGAAATAGTGTTTGACACTCCTGCATTAGAGATTGAAAGGCATAGAGGATCTACCTAATACACAATCACAAACCCAAACCAACAGCCAAAATGAGGAGACAAACAACCCCAAATTAAAGAACAAGAATATTATCCAGAAGGAGATAAATGAAACAAAGTTCAGAGTCATGATGGTGAAGATGCTCAACAGCATGAAAAAAAATATAGTAACTATGAAAAAAGAACAGTCTGAGATAAAGAATGACATCACAAAGAACACATTGGAAAGAACACATAGAAGACTAAGGGGAGCTGAGGACTGAATCGGTGAATTAGAAGACAGGGTTGAAAAAAATCAGAGAACCAAAAAGAAAAAAAACAGGAGGACAGCTAAGGGAGATATGGGACAATGTGAAATGTAACTATATTAGAATAGCAGGTGTTCCAGAAGAGGCAAAAAGCGACAAAGAGATTGAGAACCTGTTTGAAGAAATAATGGCAGAAAACTTCCCTAACCTGGTAAAGAAAAAAGTCACATAAGTTCAGGAGGCACAGAGAACCCTAAGCAAGAAGAACCCAAACAGATTCATCATAATTAAAATGCCAACAATTAAATGTCAAATCTTAAAGGCAGCAAGAGAAAAGCAAACTGTTACCTACAAAGGAGCTCCCATAAGGCTGACATCAGATTTCTCATCAGAAACTCTACAGGCCAGAAGGGAATGGCATGAAGTACTCAAGGTAATGGAAAGCAAGGATCTGAAACCAAGATTACTACAGTATATCCAGCAAGGCTGTCATTCAAAATAAACAGTCAAATAAAGAGCTTCCCAGACAAAAACAAAACAAAACAAAAACAAACAAACAAAAAAAGACAAAAAAACCCCAAAAACCCAAAAAACTAAAGGAGTACATCACCACCAACCCAGAATTACAAGAAATGCTAAAGGAATTGCCACAATGAAAAGAAGAAACAGAAAGAGAAACCTAGGCATACAGAATTAAAATGGCTATAAATAAGTACCTTTCAATAATAAGCCTGATTATAAATGGATTAAATGCTCTAATTAAAAGGCCTAGGATAGCTGAATGGATAAAAAAAAATATGACCCAACTATATGCTGTCTACAAGAGACCCGCCTCCAAACAAAGACACACAGAGTGAAGGGATGGAAAAAATTTTTCCATGCAAATGGAAAAAAAGAAAAAAAAAAAGCTGGAGTAGCAATACTCATATCTGACAAAACAGACTTGAGAACAAAGGCCATCACAAGAGACAACAAAGGTCACTACATAAATACTAAAGGGATTGACCCAACAAGAGGATATAATCCTGGAAACATATATGCACCCAATATAGGAGCACCTAAATTACATATATATATATGTGTGTGTGTGTGTGTGTGTGTGTGTGTGTGTGTGTGTATATGTGTGTATGTATATATATATAAAATTTCTAGAGGACTTTCAGGGAGAGATCTACAACAATACAGTCACAGTAGGGGACTTCAACACCCCTACTGAGGTGGCAGGAACATAGTGATCAGAATAGTAAAAAAAAAAAAAAAAAGAAAAAAGAAAAAAGAAAATGAAACCTAGAAAAAAGCAGGCTGAGAGGCAAATATGGACAACGCATCTGTGCACCTGTGCTTGATGCCTCTGACCAGATTAGCCAGCCACCTCCCCTTGATCCCATTTCCCACTCAGTCAGCTGCTTCATGATTATGATCTGTTTTCCACGGGGATGTAACTCTAAGTCCAAATTCCCAAGTTGTCTCCTGGGAGTTTGGCATGAGTAAGCTACCCAAATTGCTCAGCACTTGGCACATTTAGCACCTGAATTTCCAAGCATGCCACAAATGCGACTTTAGAATACAGTAACCAGCCCGACCGGTGTGGCTCAGTGGTTGAGCGTCAACCCATGAATCAAGAGGTCACTGTCTCGGTCAGGGCACATGCCCGGGTTGCAGGTTCAATTCCCAGTAGGGGATGTGCAGGAGGCAGCTGATCAATGATTCTCTCTCATCATTGATGTTTCTATCTTTCTATCCCTGTCCCTAAAAATCAGGGCAAACATAGAATATAGTGACCAAAAAAGACACTGTCAACTTGTAGGACCTGGGCAGCCAGTTTTAACCCTAAGTTATCCCTGACCTTGCAGCTTTCCATTCAAACGGCAATGAGCATCAGACCTTACCTTACCACCATAAGCAAGGGAAAGCACTGTACTTAACAAGTCTTCTGCTTTGGGCTGTTGCACATGAATACTGGTTTTCAGGCTCTGCAATTGCGTGCACTTTGAAACAGGGATGCATAGTTTGAGCCCAGCTAAAAATCAGTGTCTATAATAGTTAGTTCATGGTTTTAAGTTCTTAATGCTAACCCATCTTGAGTTTAAGTCTTCAATTACACAGTGAATTTCTAGGGTGTGTGGACCCTTTCAGTGGCTGCTGTGTTAGGTACAAAGGCAAGTTTTATTGATAAATGACGAGTAATTTAAAAAGAACAGGACACAACCTCCTCTATCCAGTAGACGTACCAATTTCTGGTGCTAGAATCTCATATTCTGAGTTTATTGTATAAGTGTTAAAAAGCAGCAAATCTGCCCTAACCAGTTTGGCTCAGTGGATAAAGCATCGGCCTATGAACTGAAGGGTCCCAGGTTCGATTCCGGTCAAGGGCATGTACCTTGGTTTCGGGCACATCCCCAGTGAGGGAGGGAGGAGGTGTGCAGGAGGCATCCGATCAATGATTCTCTCTCATCGATGTTTCTAACTCTCTATCCCTCTCCCTTCCTCTCTGTAAAAATCAATAAAATATATATATTTTTAAAAGGCAGCAGATATGATCCAAATTCATGGTCCACCCTATTCACATCACTTTCCCACAGTAGCCTACGACTTGGAAAGGGCTAGGTGCCCACTCTTTGCCCTATCGCTCCTAAGCATTTGGTTGCATAAACAGGCTTAAGAGGCTTTCAGAACCTTTCAGCTCCCTGCGGCAGAGGCCTCTGCGTTTCCACGGGCGTTAATGCGTCAGTCCTTCCCGCGAGCGACTGGGAAGGTGGGAAGGGCAGTTAAACAGCTGGAGGTGTAGGCTGCGAGCTACAGAGCAATTGTCACTCCCATTTCCCATCCCGGAAAGCAGCTGAGGTAAGATGGGAGCCCTGACCTGAGCCCCCCAGCAAATGAGGTTTTCACAACACCCCTCCCTCATCAGACCTTTCAATCCACTCCCGAGATGAGGCCACCGGAGCAGGCAAGAACCTCCCTGCCCCCACCCCCCACCCCATCTACAGCGCAGGTCCTCAGCCCTCACCCCTTGCATTCGCGCCCCCCCCCCCCCAGGCCACCACTCCTTTATGGTTTCTTACTGGTTCCTCGGGTCTGGTACGATTGAGCTTTCTGAAATGCTGCATTGGTTCGACATCATTTTTTTTTTCTCTCTCTCTGACTTTTGCGTGGCTTTCCTCGTTCTGAGCCATCAAATCCACCCTTAGCCTGACCTTTAGGATCGAACCCCGACCTACCCTTTACCTTTGAAGCCTTATTTTTGTTCTAAAACGTGACCCGCCTGCCATGGCCCAAATGGCCTCACTCCTCCTTGCCCTCCAGGTTCTAACCACCAGGCCTGTGGCCACGCCCTTTCCCCAGGCTG